GTAGCTCTGATAGCAATCCCACCTTACTCAATCTTCAACAAAGATGGGGTAATCCTAAGACCCCACCCAGCCTTCATTCCTAAAGTCTGCTCCGAGTTCCACACCAACGAACCAATAATACTACACTCCTTCTGTCCTAAACCACATGCTTCTTTCTGGGAGGCAACTATGCATTTCCTTGATGTCTGTAGAGTGCTTGCCTTTTACGTAGAAAGGACTAAGCCATTCTGTAAAACGGACCATCTAATAATTTCACTTGCAGACTGATCCAAGGGAGAAGTGATATCATCTCAGCAAATCGCAAAGCTCATCACTTCTTACATTATCTCCTGTTACTCTATATGCCACACACCACTGCCAGCTCAACCAAAGCCTTACTCCACAAGAGCAGTAGCAGCATCAACTGCTTTTCTGAAAGGTGTGCCTCTTAGGGACATGTGCCTCTTAGCCACATGGTCTTCCCATGATACCTTCGTGAGACATTACACTATCCAACACCAATTAGCTGCAGATGCATCGCTGGCATCAGCAGTACTTTCTTTAATATCAAATTGTGACTCCGATACCCTCCTTCTGGTCTTTTTGGGTACTGCTACACTGTCACCTGCAGTGGAGCACCAACGGGGACGTCACTTGAAGAAGAAAGTGAAGTTACTCACCTTGGTGCAGTAACTGTTCTTCGAGATGTGTCTTCCTGCACTACCCGCCCTCCTCCCCGCTCCGGAGCCTTTTTCTAATGTTTTTCAGATTCCAGGGCCGATTCGAGGAACTGGTGGGAGTTGGACCATGCGCGTGAGCTGAAGGGCGCGAACGCCGTGAGGAGCCAACTGTGCATGTGTGGCCCGGCCGACTACCACTTTGAAAATCTCCGATCTGCAGCGCTGGGATGAGCCCAACTCCTACAGTGGAGCACCCACGGGGACACGCCTTTTTCTAATGTTTTTCAGATTCCAGGGCCGATTCGAGGAACTGGTGGGAGTTGGACCATGCGCGTGAGCTGAAGGGCGCGAACGCCGTGAGGAGCCAACTGTGCATGTGTGGCCCGGCCGACTACCACTTTGAAAATCTCCGATCTGCAGCGCTGGGATGAGCCCAACTCCTACAGTGGAGCACCCACGGGGACACACATCTCAAAGAATGACAGTTACTGCACCGAGGTGAGTAACTTTGCTTTCCATCTTTTCCTTCCATGTTTCAGCTATCTGATCTTAACTAAATTTTTTATAGTTAAGTAATTTAAATGGGATTGTTCTTGTACCTGCTACAACCATCCCAATTCATTATTTGCGGGCTCATTTTTTAGGAAGCACCCCATTTCCTTCAGAGTGACTATAAGGCCTTCTGTGTTATGTGTGGTGACAAATCATAGAGCAGGAGTGGACAATAAGCAGATTGAAAGACAAATACGGTATATTGGCACTTAGGGTCAGCCATAATAATAAAGAAGCATGGGTGAAAGTGATGATTTAACAGCTCTCTTTATTCTTTGTGACTGGGAATGGGCTATTTTAGTATTCTTTCTTCCATAACTATGGGTGCAATGGAGGCACACATCCAAACAAGCGCACATGACCTTGATATTAGTGCACAAGACAAAACCCACTTTGCTCATGGATTGAAAATCTTAGAGGGAACACTGGTGCTGAGAAACAAATAGAAACTCCAGAACTTTCAGGAAGCAAGAGCTAGTAGTTATGGTGGATAGACTAGAGCCATTAATTCATAGATTTAGTCTCATAAAAATGTGTAGCATGTTTGTGATGAGGTATGCATAACTGTTATTTTTAAATGAGAAGTTTAGTATTCTATTGATTTTAAAAAATAATTAAAAAAACTTTTAATGTATAAAAAAGCATCAATTTTTATAAATCCTGTTTAAAATGTGCTACTTTACAAAATCAGACATGGAAGTACAAAAGTCTCAACATCTCTTACAGAAAAATTGCTGGATTTCTCATTTTTATCATATAGTTATCAAATACATCAATATAAATATTTTACTTGCATTTCAGTGTGATACTTCAACCTAATTTTTTTCTACTTGTGAGTCTCTTGTCTAAATTCAGAGTTCCTGCCATTCGCGGCTGAAGCCAAAGCTCTGCTGCCTGGGGTTCAAGCATATAACTTAGCTTCATGAGGCTATGAGCAGCTGCCTCCTAATGCCAGCCTTGCACTTCAAATCCCCCTAACCCAACTCTGAAATGACCCCTCCCCTGGGAACATCAACCCCCAGTTGAGAGAAACTGATCTAGATGAGTTGAGTGTCCTGTGTAAGACCTCTGAGTACTCTCAGGGATACTGGTTGAGAACCTCTGCCCTGAAGGATAGACGTGGCAAGTGTTTATATGGATGCCAAGAGATGCAAAATGAATTTAAATGTGGACAGATAGCATGTTAATTGGGGCGCAAAAAACTAAAGAGCATGAGCCTAAATTAAACTTAAAAAACAACAAATAGTCTGGTAGCACTTTATAGACTAACAAAACATGTAGAAGATATCATGAGTTTTCGTGGGCACAGCCCACTTCTTCAGATGACCGGACTAACTTGGCTACTCCCTGAAGCTTCTAGATTAAACTGTTCATTAAATTGATTGGGAAACAAATTAGTGTCTTGGCATTGCACGGAAAATAGTCCATTAGAAGGAGAGAATGCAAAACCAGTTAATGTTTTTATAAAATGCTTGTTGATTTCTCCACTAGACTAGCATGTGCCATATTTACACAGCATGATTTTGTGGTTGAAATCAGGGGTCTGGAAGTTAGAAGAAAACCCAGAAGTCCTAAGTTTTAGCAGTGCCTCAATTTGTCATTTATATCTGTATATCTGTGTGTGTCTATCTGTGAGTCCATTTGTTCAAGAAGTCCTCCTAAACTTCCTTGGCACTACAGTAAAATTAAATGATGGACAAATTTCCACCACCCTATACCGGAAACCTGCCGACCGCTACACTTACCTTTATGCCTCTAGCTTCCATCCCAGACACATTTCTCAATCTATTGTGTACAGCGAAGCCCTAAGATAAAACCAGATTTGCTCCAATTTCACAGAGACAAACACCTACTGGATCTGTAGATAGCATTCATAAAACTGAATACCCACCTGGAGAAGTGAAAAAATGGGTTGACAGAGCCAAAAAAGTACCCAGACATGAACTACTTCAAGACAGACCCAGAAGAGAAAACAACAGAATTCCACTTGTCATTACCTATAGTCTGCAACTTAAACCCCTCCAACGCATTATCTGCAATCTACAGCCTATCTTGGAAAATGACCCCTCACTCTGAGGCGTTGGGGGGAAAGGCCTATTTTCGCTTATAGACAACCCCCTAACCTGAAACAAATTCTTTCCGGTGATATGCTACACAGCTACATCATAAGGATCCAGGAACCCACCCCTGCAATCAGCCCTGGAGCCAACTCTGTACAGGCAATTTCATCACTGGACCCAACATCATCAGCCTCCAAAAAAATCAGGATCATTTAACTACACATCCACTAAGATGCTATATCTGTATGTGGTTATGGTAATACATTTTGTTATACATGCAGTCCCCGGGTTACGTACAAGATAGGGACTGTAGGTTTGTTCTTAAGTTGAATTTGTATGTAAGTCAGAACTGGTACATATTGTAGGGGAAACTCTAGCCAAACATTTCTCCAGAGCTCAGTTTTATTCTCCCACACCTCACTTCCCTCAGTCCTTTATTCTCAAGCTGAGGTGTCTGCTGAGAAAAGCCGCTCCGCATTTCCCTGGTCTGCTGGGGGGAAGCAGCTAGTGTGGGTTTGCCTCACCCCGTTTGTAAGTAGGGATCCGACGTAAGTCGGATCCATGTAACCTGGGGACTGCCTGTACTACCAAGTCTTTAAGTAATCTAAATTAAAAATGCTTGGTTGAATTAATCCTTGGTACAAGCCAGTGACAAAGACTTTTTTGTATCCACTTAATGCTTTTACTGTCCAGGAAATCAGAAATTCAACCTCTTAAGACATTGTCATTTTGAGAGTCTATGCTTGTCAGTTTTTTGTAATACAGCACTCAATTTATAGATTTTGTAGAATAGTCTGCAGTAACCTTTAGAAGCAGTTTTCTTTTTTTGGTGTGTCTGCTCTTCGAACTTAATTTTTTTCCTGTCTTTAAACCTTGCATAATATACATATATTTGAGAGTCTGTCTGTTCAAGAACTCACCTATTCTGTAAGAGCTAGGACCACCAAATTCAGTATGCATCCTCTTCAAATCATAAGTTAAAGCAACATAAGTTGGCTTTGGTTGTGCCAGGAAAATGGGATGTGCCTGGAATGGGATTGCTTCTCATAAAATCATACAAAAAAGAGATCGAATCACCAGGCAAAATGAAAGGGGTTATTTGGGGGCACTTTCCCACATCTGGAAGTGGCTGAGCCCCGCCTGCAGATACCTGTTAGGACGGTGGAGCTTCAGGCCCTCCCCCCTGATTTGTAGAGGGAATTCTGAGAACAAAGTGCATAATTTGTTATATTCCTTACTCTGGATGGCGAGTGCTAGGGTTTCCAGATGGTTAAAACAAAAATACCGAAACCCCCCCCCCCCAAAAAAAAAAACACTGGGAAAAAATTTTGTTCAAGGGGGGGAAAAGGGAGGGGGCCGGGACAAAGTTGTTAAGCAAAAGGAAAAAAAAACCCAGCATGTCCCCTTTAAGAGTGAGTGCAGGGATAGGAACGGGGGAGCGGTTGAGCACTAAGATCCAGGGGAAGCATTGCTTCCCCTAGGTCTTTTGGCCGGCAGCCATTTTAGGCTGGCAAACGGGGCTGGGGTCAGGAGGTTGGGAGTGTTGGGGGCCAGAGAGGCCCTGGGGGGGAGGGGCGTGGAAGAGGCTGGGTGCGGAGTGTTTGTAGGGTTGCCAGATGCCCGGCATTTTCGCGTCCTAGCCGGGGAAAAATTCAGAGAATACCGGACATCTCAGGTATCCGGTATTCTCTGATTTTTAATTTTTTTTTAAACCAGACAGGAGGTGAAAATACCGGACTATCCGTGTGAATGCCAGACACCTGGCAACCCTAGTGAGTGCAGGGGGGTAGACGAGCTATGTACTTTGTTTTCGCTCCCTGAGATGGACAGGAAGGGGAAGACCATGCAGCTCTGGTTTGAATCTGGGGGAGCGAGGGAGTCTGACCTCCCAGGCCTCCCTCCCCCTACACACCGAGTCCCCTCCTCACTCCCTCATCCTGACTCCTGTACTCTCCCCCCCATATCTCTTGTCCTGAGCCCCCCCTTAAGGACGCAAGTAGCACCTAGTAAATGTGCTATAATTGTAATATTTGTTTAGTATTGCATAGTTCTTTATATTCCAGCAGTTATGGTAGAAATCTAAATCTGATTTATTTGTAGGGAAGTATCAGATGTGGACACTAGTGAGGAAATCTTGTATAAGGTGACTCGGTTCCTTTATGTTTAAGGTTCATATTAAAACCATCCTCAAATACCACCCTATACTTGACCTAAAAAACAGATAGTATTGAAATAAGTTGTCAGTGCAAATTAAGCCAACTAACATTTCCCAGTTACGTGAATAGGATGGGCTGGCTGTATTGTTTCACAGCAATGTACTACCAAATATAATTTGGTTTGAGAGAGGCTTAGGGAAACATGTTACTTTTTTCAGGTAGGGGATCTACAGTTACTTCTGCCATTAAACCATTATCCAGTATTTTGGCAGCACAATGCATTGAATAAAAATGAGTAAGCGAGAAATTCAACATTAGTCTCACCGCAAGATAAAATAAAGCAGAGTAAGGTAGGAAGTAGTGAATAAGCCTTTACTTAAGCAAAGGTTAAATAGCAAGTGGTACAGAAAAAAATCAAGAGTTATAATATAGAATAGGACACTGTTCCCTCTAGTTTAGTGATTCTCAAACTTTTTGGCCCACAGATCACCCTGTTTATCACAAATCTTTCCATGGACCACAAGCCAACCCACCAGGATGAAAAAAAGCATTTCCTTATCTCTAAATACCTTAAATACTAAATTATTCATATTATGATATTTGAGCATAAAAACATAAATACGCAGCTATTATATAAGGGGGCATATACAGCCGGTAAGAGAGGAAATATTATTAATCAAAAATCATTAGCCAGATTAAGTGCTTTAACTTTATCATGTTAGTTTACCAAACTTTTAAAATAAAGTAAAATATTTATTTCTGTCTAAAACAAAATTTCAACATTGTCTATATGACATGGTTGGGTGAACCTTTTTTAGGTGAGGGGCCACTGACCCACAGAAAAATCAGTTGGTGGCCACACAAGTGAAAAACAGAAAAACAAAACAATCCCCCCCAAAAAAAACACCCCCATCCCTCACTGGTCTGGCCTCCAATTAAGACACGTCACTCCCCTCATGCTCCCGCCCCACGGGGTGGGGAGGGAGGGAGGACTAAGGTTCAGGGCTTCCCACAGGCCAGATTAACTCTTCTGAGGTCTCATGACTAGTAGATTTTTGTGGGTCCCCTAGACTTTGAGGTGTTGCCAAAAATGAGGGGTTTAGTGTGCAATAGGAGGCTGCCAGGAAGTAGGGTCAGGATTGGAGTGCAGGGTCTGGACAAGAGGTGGAGTGGAGGATGGGGTATGGATGGGGAGTTGGGTACAGGAGCGGGCTTAGGATAGGGGATTTGAGCAGGATGTGGGGCGCATGTGGAGGGTGCAAGGTCTGCATGGGATGGAGGGTGCAGGAGAGAGCAGTCCGAGGGTAGGGAGACTAGAAGGGAGGTGGGGTGAGGGCGATGGCGGTGCGGTGTCTGGATGTGCAGTTCTTGCTAATGGGAGCAGTGGGGACAACCTCCAGACAGGTGGTTTCCTGTGATGCCATTCTCCCAGCCAGGAGGGAGTGGGAGCAGTAGCACGTGGAACAGCTTCCTTGCCCTGTGAGCCAGATCTGTCCTGCGAGACTTGAGGCTCCCGCCCTTCCGCAGTGGGAAGCCATGCAGAGCTTGAGACTGGAGCACCAGTGCAGGCTCCCTGCTGTGGGATGAGGAGGGGGACAAGCCAGTAGGCCACCTGCAAGATGGTTGCACACCATGCTTCCTTTTGAGCCACAGCTCTAGTTGAGTAGCCTTTCTAGGTGCCTCTAGTTTCCTTTCCTTCTCTTGGAGAAGCAGCTTTTTAAAAAATGGAACAGATCCACTCAATTTATATAATTTGTCAAAACAGTATATGTATCTATTTTGTGGTGAAATTGCAAGTAAAATGAAACGTAAAGAAAGTGGAGCCACCTTATTGCCTGTATGCTATCTGTGTACACATAGTTGATAACGTTACTGTATATTTACTGTGATGAATAGTACTACAGGTTGATCCTCTCTAGTCCAGCACCCTCGGGACCTGGCTGCTGCTGAGCCAGAGAATTTGCCGAACCAGAAGAGGTCAGTAGCATTACCAACACTTCCACTGCTTACTGAGCTCTTAGAAGATGTTTAGGGGTAAATTAGAGCTAAATAACACCAAAACACACTAAGATCCAGGACTGGTGGCTGTAAACAAACTTTATAGGACTGTGGGGAAACTTGGCTACACTCAGGATAAGTGGACATCCAGCTAACTAAAATCATTCTGGACCCCAGATGTTGCTGGGCTAGAGAGATTCAACGTGTGCTTAACGGCTTTGTTTTAGATTACATTAATTCATTTAAATTGTTTATAGTAAGGTTCTGCAGGGTGGCAGATGACTCCCCTGTATGCTCTTAGTTTTAAGAACTGGTGGGTTGGGACTGAGCCAACCTGACAGTCCAAGATTTAAATGCAGAATACGCGAGAGAGGGGGGTTGTTGCGGTTAACCGGGACCATTAACTGATAAGCATTTAACTAATAAGCTATTGCTTACCTGGCTAGCTGCTAACATCCCTAATTCAGAGGAGCTTAAAGGATTTGCATTTCAGTGGGATTTTGGATCCGCCAGTGTCCCTTAAACTCTTTTGAAAGTATCTGCCATAATCTGGATAAGGAAGTCTTGTGCCCAGTTTCCTTCCTTTTGTTGTTCCTTCCTTCTGCTCCATAGTTTTGCTCCCGCCTCTCACAGAAGCAATATCAAGCATGTCAGGCTTATACTCCTTTTTTTTTCTGGCCAAGGCCTAATTGGAAAAAAAAACCGCTATGGAACAAAAAGATGAACAGAAAAGGAAGCAGGGAGATAAAGCAAGAACGTGGATGTAATTCTTTCAGTCTTAAATCAGATACCATTTTGAGAAGAAAGAAACAAATGTAATTCTTCCCTCTTTTTCCTTTGAGGCTGGAATGTTTCATCCTCTCTTTTGCCCCATTCTCCTCCCTTCCACTTTATGCTGAACATTTAACTTGTGTTCTCAGAGTTTAGGCAGCCATGGAAAAGCAATTTTTTCTTTTTTCTTTTTTTTTTCCTGTAGCATGGAAGGAATTGTACAGATTCCTCCTAGGACTCTCCAACAAGAACGCACAATTAAGCAATATTAATAGTTTAATGTAGCGAGAATAGACTACCATTTTCAGAATAGGAATTCTTCAGGTGGAAAGATGGTTGGTGGGAGTAGCAGAGGAGATGATGATGGGGCTACAGAGTTGTTCATGAAGTTTAGATGCTTCCTGTCACAATAAAAGCTGAGTGAAAGTAAATTCAAAGGCAGTATTAATACAAACAGATACAATTATTTTTCACTTTCAAAATGCTTTCAAGTTGTAGCTATTCCTTCCCAGCAAAGATCTTGCCATAGTGAATATTTATCACCTATGGGCAGTACATTTTATTTGGGCTCCCTTATAAACCATTAATAGATGGCTGTTAATGCAGAATGTTGCATCTGACTGCAAAAGGGTATTTATCCTCAAGAATCAGTAGTGCCTGTACTCTGAATTTGTTGCCTTCTGTTTAGGAGTACTTCAATGACTGTGTTTTACATGCATCATATATACATTTGAAAATAATTTAGGACCAATCTACCTGAAGACTCATTTAATGACCCTGTCACAGAACTTAGTCATCAAGTTTAGAACTGTGGCTTGTTCTAGTATTATATGTTCTCTCATTTGGGTGCACCAAAATACTAAGTGATATTCTTCTAGATACAGCTAAGATTCAGATGAATTTTTAGTTTGTAATGTAAAGAATATATTTATTATTTGGGCTGTTAGCCTCTGAAGTGGAAGGGGCAGATATTTGTATCAGTTGAATTTCAAATCATGTTGCATAACAAATTTCATTTCTTTTTATTTATGGTTTTTGAGATGCCCAAAACTGTTTCATTTGGAGCACCATACAAATAACTTAATCTAAATTCTGCTCTATCTCTTATTTTTTATAAAAATAAAGTCTGTAGTCAGAATTGTCAGAAACATCTAGACATCATCGTAATCATAAATATTTGTTTATTTACTACTCCGTTAAGTATTTCCTCAACTTCAAATGATATGTATATTTTGATAAAGGAGGAAACTGCCTCCAGTGACTTTTCTTCAGGTCCACGTTAAATGGGCAGCTTATATGTGAGGAAGTATTTAACCCTTTCTCTTACAGAGATACAATCCCTGCTTTCGTATTTGACAACTTTATTTCCTACTAAATAGAGAACTGTCTTAGAGTACTGATTTTAACAAATGAGTTCCCTAAGTCTTTTTGGGATATGTGTAAATTAAAAATAGACCCTAGAAAAGTACAAGTAGTCCTGTGGCACCTTTAGGGCAAGTCTACACTGGGGAGTTATTTCAAAACAACTCGCCTTATTTTGGAATAACAACACGAGCATCCACACTGCCAAGCCCATTATTTCAAAATAACGGACATGTTGTTTTGAAATAACTCCTGCTTGTGAAGAGGAATAATGCTTATTTCGAAATTATTTAGAAATAGTTCCAGTGCGGATGTTCAGCTGCTGCTGTTTCAAAATAATTGGCCTCCAGAGGCCTCACAGCTGTCTGTGTGGCCACTCTGGCCACACATGTGACAATTTCACTGCTCTTCTCCTGCAGAGTTTAAAGCTGCAGGCAGAAGGGAAAGGGCTTGTGTCACCACACCAGCCCCGTACCACACAACACCCTCTTTTTGTTGAGCCATGGCAGACCCCAGCACTTCCTCTGAGCCCCCCTGAGCTACAAGCATACCTATAGCCACCTCAAAAGCCCCTGGTTAGAGGCTTGGACTGGCGCGGAGATCCTGGATCTCATCGAAGTTAGGGGTGAGGATTTGTACATCCAGGATTTCCGCAGCAATAGGTGAAATGCTGAAGTCTACAGCTGGATGGCCATCAGCGGCACAGCCTCACCCTGGAGAAGGTGCAAATGAAAATAAAAAAACTCATAGACTTTAAGGTCAGAAGGGACCATTATGATCATCTAGTCTGACCCCCTGCACAATGCAGGCCACAAAATCTCACCCACCCCTCCTAGAATAATCCTCTCACCTATATCTCAGATATTGAAGCCTTCAAATACTTTGAAGACCCCAAGATGCAGAGAATCCTCCAGCTGTGATCTGTACCCCATGCTACAGAGGAAGGCGAAAAACCTCCAGGGCCTCTACCAATCTACCCTGGAGGAAAATTCCTTCCTGACTCCAAATATGGCGATCAGCTAAACCCTGAGCATGTGGGCAAGACTCATCAGCCAGACACCCAGAAAGTTCTCTCTAGTCACTCTTATCATCCCTCCATTGACCTATTTCCCACTGATAATGAATGGTCAATTAGTTACCAAGATCATGTTATCTCATCAAACCATCCCCTTCATTAACCCAATTAGTTTAATCTTGAAACCAGATAGATCTTTTGCCCCCACTACTTCCCTTGGAAGGCCGTTCCAGAACCTCACTTCTCTAATGGTTAGAAACCTTCGTCTAATCTCAAGTCTAAACTTCCTATTAGCCAGCTGATATCCATTTGTTCTTGTGTCCACATTGGTATTAAACTTAAATAATTCCTCTCCCTCCCTGGTATTTATCCCTCTAATATATTTAAAGAGTGCAGACATGTTTCCCCTCAGCCTTCTTTTGGTTAAAGTAAACAAGCCAAGCTCCTTGAGTCTCCTTTCATAAGACAGGTTTTCTATTCCTCGGGTCAATGAAAATAAAAAAACTCTGGCAGGCCTGCAAAAAGATCAAGGAGGAAAGTTCCCACTCTGGGGTGGCACTGCACACATGCCACTGATGCCTTCCTGGGAGGAGAACCGATCACCCTGCTGCCCCCCTTGTCATCTACTCTGGACAGGACATGCCCATCATAAGCCTCAACGTTACTTACAAGGGTTGTGGAGGAGGACAACCAGAATGATGAGGAGGAGAAGCAGGCTGGCATGGACACACCATGCCCGCCAGCCAAGAGGTCATCATTTGCCTGGAGCCATTCCTTCTCCCCTCCCCCACCTTCCAGTATGTCTCCCAGGGCTCGGACAAATCTGGGAAATGCACTGCAGGTGAGTTCCATCGCTTTCCCTATACACACGTGGGGCAGGTGTATAGGGAAAGCAAGGGACTACGAGCTTCTTGCTTGGCCTGGGGCCTCAGCCTGTGCATGTGGAACGTCAGTCTGGAGGACTCAGCTCCATAAGGCTCTCACATAGGAACCCCTTGCTCCTTCTTACAAGGTTCTTGCACTGGCCTGTTTTACTACGGCCTCTGTGGTGGGACATTTTCCTGCGACAAACCACCGCTAAGGAGGATGGGCTTCTGGAAACACACAGCAGTGCTGCGCACAGCACAGGCTCATGCCCACACTCTCGGGCAGCATCCACTCCTGGTCAAGCGTGGCAATGCAGAGGAGACTGATACCCTACATGGGAATCTACCTGGGGGAAGAAGAGGAGAGGAACCCAATATCACTCTCTCTGACAAACAGCGTCCGCTGCTCACACGCACCTCCCCCAACACCCTCCCCCTTCTCCTCCATGGGGCAGGGACAGACATTCTCTCTGCAGGATCCCACCACTGCTGGGCCCAGTGTTTGTGGGAAATGGAAAGAAGCTGAACTGCCCCATCCCTCCCTCCCATTTGCAGGCTCTTGGCCTGGCTGGCACCTTCCTATGCCTGCTTGATCCCATGACATGGGGGTAGTGAGGCTCCCCTGGGACATTCATGCCCCTTCAGGAAAGTGCCTGCTGTCTAGGCAACATATGACCTTGCTCGAAGCACATTGCCACCCTCTGAAACAAGATCTCAGTGTCGGTTCAGAGATTAGGGCTAGGATACTGCATGTACAGTGTCTCTTGGGATGACTGCCCTTGTCACTTGTCTTCACAGCTGGGACAGTTGTGTGCATGGTGTGTCCACCACCTTCCGCACCATCTTTCTGACCCTGCGAGACCCATAGACAGAGGCGAACCCGTGAGCACTTGGTTCAGGAACATCTGGACTGCATCCATTCCTTCAGCTGGAGCTTTGACCAGGAGCACCAGGCTGACTGTAAGCTGAGGAAGACTATGTGGGAGCAGCTGTTGTGCCAGCATGAGGCCACATACTTGTCCATCATATCAGTCATGTAGCTCATGGCTGTGTGTATAGAGTGGTCCACCAGCCACCTCCTTCCCCCTACCCCTCACCTACCCCCTGGCATTTCTTCATATACGCCTAGGGGCTGCCAGGGCCCACTATCATGTGGTGGTGGGACTGCTCAGGCAGCTGAAGTCTCCCGAGGTACCTGAGGCAGGCATCAGTACCAGTCCCATCCCTGAGCCCACCTTCTCCTCCCTTCTCCATTTCATGTTCTCAACTCAGTCCCTCCCCCATTGTATGCTCCCCTAGTAAAAAATGATAATAGCGCTTATGTAGAACTTTCAGTTTTCAGTGAGCTCTATAAACATTAATTAATCCTCAAGCATTCCTAATTAGGGACGTTAAATTTAGATTAAGCAATCGAATAGTCTATGCGATTTCCATTGACTATTTGATTAGTCTATAAGGGTGCTTCTGCCTTTGAACTGTATCAAGAGCCCAGGGGTCCTCCTGGGCTCTTGATACTGTTCAAAAGTGGAAGCCCCACAGGGAGTGCAGGACCAGCGGGGACTCCTCCATTGGCCCCAACTCCCAGCAGCATCTCAGCCTTTGAAATCAGCAAGAGCCCCATAGGGCTCTTGTACATTTCAAAAGGAAGCCTTATGTGAAGCCTCTGCTTTTGAAATGTACAAGAGCCCTGCTGTCTTTCTGTTCTGGAAATAGTGAGGTCCTGTAGTTGAATATTCATTGTTCTAGTATAGATTGTTAAACAGTAGATGGGATAATTATCTCTGAAGAACAACAATAATAACCCAAGCACATTAAACATTTAAAAAAACCTACAGAAATGATTAATTAGGGTAATTCGTATAAAATAAGCCAAGACCAATACAATCATATATTTTAATAATGATAATATGGATATATAAAACCTCACATTATGAATTTCACAATCATCATTTCTTACACACAAAACATATTGATGCACATTAGTGTAAAGTATATACTTAGTATACACAGATTTACACATGTTGATGCATGACACTGAGATGTTCTGTAGAATGTGTAAAATGAATCTGAAATGTGCAGATTGAATTCTTATATATCCATATCATCATTAACCAGATTTACAAATTTGAGGGGTTATGGAATTTCTAAGAAGCGTGAGAGAGTAAATTTTGTGTGTGTGTGTGGGGTGTGAGCGAGTGAGGGAATGTTGAAAGTTGTGTTTTGTCTAGGCATATGGAGCACATGCAGATATGATACATTTTGTATTGTTTACAAACTTGTGAGGTCGAAAGTTTGTTCCCTGTTTCATATTTTTCGCATATTATTAAGACTGTACTATTAAGTTAGCCCATTTGAGTATGCTCTTAAGAGTCGCAGGCAAAAAAGAATTACTTCAACTTTGGTAGGGATTCCTGAAATTCAGAATTTGAGGTTTTTCCTTTGTTAGCACTAGCAGCTTCTGTCATTTGTCATGCTGGAGAGTCATTGGATGTTTAATGTAATACTCAGTGCAAGCAACATTTAGCAGTTTTCATATTTCTGAAATTCATATTAAATATCAATTAAAAAGTTTTACTAATGAGTTCATTGTATATTGAGTTGTAGAGAAATGTACAATATTCATCTCTGAATTCATCCTCCAGATGGCGCTGGTTATTTTTAGGATTTTTTAAGGTTGTGTAAATGTATTTTTCTATATGGGAAATGATTCTATTGGACCATGAAGAATGCATGTTTTCCAGGACACTGCTGGAAACCAGATGTTTTGATGGTAGTGTCTTAATAAATATATTTTTATCCATGTAAAATAAGAATAACGATGAATATAAAATAAAACACACCCTGAGGTGAAGAATTCCCTTGCCTGTTTTACTTCTTATTTCTCTGTTTCATCACTACCTTGTACTTTCTTTAAGATTTGGGACAATTCAAATAATTTAGTTGCAGAGAGAAAGTGTTTTCTGTCCCTTTCTGATTCTGGAACCTTCACCAGCACAACAGAATTTTCAAAGGAAAACTCTTTTGAAGTCCTTTCTTTTTTTTTCTTTTGTCTCCCCCTCTCTTCATCCTCCCTTCACCGTCTGTCAAGTTCAAGAGCAGCTCAGATGTCATGAATTAAGTGAAGCACAAAAGGGGGAAAGGAGACCCTTTTGAAGAACAAAGGTCTCCCATTAGGCTGCCGTGTTCTTTCTCTGACCAAAATCGCTCCCTATGTGGTTTCTGTTGCTGTCCACATGCTCTGCACATAAGGTAAATACAGTAGGACCCTCATTACCTCACGCTCTCTTCCTCTCCCCCTTCAATAAATGTCTTGTGTCTTTGATGTTCATAATAATTCTTATATTGTGCTCACTCTCATAAAAACTCTAGGGGTAGCCATGGTAGTGGGTAATGTTAGATAGTGTGTAAATGCCTTCAGAAAAGAAGACAGCTGTGAGCAAAACTGCAGACAAATAATCTACTCCAGGTGGAAGAGACTAGGGGGGCAGTGCAGTTACTTTTTTTTTTTTTTTTTTTTTTTATAAATTGTCTCTATGTTCCATCTCAATTTGTATTCACCAGAGAGGAATTAATGTTTCCTTCCTGTTTATTCCAACAAAGAAAAAGGGAAGTAGAAGCTTTGCGGACACATTTTATAAGATACCACAAGATGTTAAATCCATATAAATCTGTTCTCGCACCTCTAGCTGAACTTTTTGCTGAAGTTTGTATGGCTATGCTATTTTTTTAGAAAAAAGGAACACATGGTATAGTGTAAATTGTCTTTTTCAGAGATTGTGTAAAAATGGATAACATTTTCAAACATGATTGCCTTCTGAAGTTTGACTTCTACATCTATAGTAGGTACCCACGTAAAAATGGACTGATTTTGGTAGAAGTGTTGAGCATCTGCAAATCTCACTGAAGCTTACACATTCGGTTTTGAAAGTGTGAGCCCCTGTAAAATACTAAAAAGCAGTTTATTTCAGACAAACTTTTCAAAGCTCTGGGCCAGGGGTGGAGAACTTGGGGCCAGGCTGAATTTGGTCCCCAGCTTGCCTGGATCCGGCCCCTGAGGTTCCCCCTCCCCAGCATTGGAGAGCCCGTGCTGGCACTCCAGCCCCCCTGTTGCCTCAGTGCGAGGCTGGAGCACATGAAATCTACTAGGCTAGGCCCCCTAGGCTCTGGTGTGTGAGGAAAATGTGGGGAGGGTCGTTCTCCATCACAGTTGGGAGCCATGTCATTGATGGTTTTTTTGTTTCTCACTTGTGTGCAGCCCCCAAGTGATTTTTCTGTGGGTCATTGGCTCCTGACACAAAAAAGGTTCCCCACCTCTGCCCTAGGCTGTGAATGGTATCATTCTGAGTTTAAAATAAAATTCAGCAAAGTATTTGAAAAAAAAATGTTTTTAAACATTGATGGCCTGACTAAATGTTTGGATATATAGAAGGAATTTTTGGAAAGCAAAAATAATTGACATTAAATATAAAATAATGTTCATGCTTCTTTAAGGAATACAGGTTCCAGACAGCCACTTCTTTAGTTTCTCTCAACTTTATTCTGACTTTCCTCTATTGCAATCCTTTAAATTTCAAGGATTTTCTTTTGATGTTTGTATATCTCTTCCCCTGCTATTGATTTTGCTGTTAAATTTAGTCATATGTTTTTTATCAATGCATGTAATAGTCAAACACCACAAAAATAAAACCATCAGTTAATCAATTTATGATTCCTGCTTAAAGCCAGCACCTTATCTCATGGAGTATGTATGGATTTCTGAGTTTTCCATCCTGTCAGTCACAAAGTGAACATTGTTTTCTAGCAAGCCGCCTTAGGACAGTAAGGGCACATCTACACAACAGCATTATTTGGAAATAACTTAGTCCGCATCTACACAGCAGGCAGTTATTTCAAAATAATGTTGAAATACTGTCAAGTTGGAGGACTTCTTACTCCAACTCCTGTAATCGTCATTGTACAAGGAGTAAGGGAAGCTGGAGGGAGAGTGCTCTATTTTGAAATAACTGCTGTGTAGATGCTCCCAATTTCGAAATAAGCTACGCAATTATGTAGCTCAATTTATATAGCTTATTTCGAGATAAGCCCTGCAGTGTAAACGCACCTTAAGAGTAACTGCAATCAGTCTCTGACTTCTTAAGCTATAAAATAGGAAAAAATCTATTTTGTAGCTTAGATATCTTGTCAGTGGTTTTTTACTCTTTTTTTTTTTTTTTTTTTTTTAATACTGATTGCCCAGTCATAACTTTTTTATTGGTTATGGACAATGCTTTTTATAAACGTTGTGATTTTCATTTTCTGTAGGAAATATCCATGTTATACTTCACTCCCACTGTGAAGGGATTAAAACCCCTCCTTTTTCAAACTGTCCTATTTCACCTTCCTTGCACTGTGTTTTACAAGTCAATGACATTTATGTACTTGCATTATTTAGCTGAATTGGGTTTGGCCATTGAATATTTTAGAAAGGTACAGGCTCAATATGAGAGTAAATCTTAATTTTTTGTGTTATAGTGCCTCAAATGGGTTTGTGACACAGCCTGGTCTTCTCTGTGTAGATTGGGCCAAACTCTTTTAGAGCCCTGTAAAGACTAGGACCAAAAAATATGTATTACTTACTGGTCCTGGCTAAAGATACAAAACCATGTTTCAACATGTTTCTAACATGACAGAATTTGCTGACTAGAACATCCCTTGATAGCCTTTCCAGCGTTCTGAATGAGAGATTATTAGAGATGATGGAAAGCAGGGGGAGAGAATTAACATTCAACTCCTTGTACTTTTTCACCCTCTAAAGGCTTGCACAGTGATACAAATGTTAAAAACTTCCATATTTTACCTCTTTTTTTTTTCTAACTCCACATACAGTTTGTATAAATTGCTGTTGAACTTGAAGCAAAGTTTCATCGTTCAGTAGACTGGCCGTATAAATCTCTGCTTTTAAGACCCCATTTGCTCTCAGTGCTAATATTGAAACCTCTTGAAACCACTGCCACTGAAGGCTAAGTGGATGATCCCTTGCAGATCTCATTCATGGACCCTACCAAATTTTGATCAAGTTCATCATCATAGTCTTTTAAAAAATGTAAATGTGATGATTTCAGATATTTAAATCTGAAATGTTATAGTGTTAAAACTATAGGGGGTCCTGACAGTAAAGGGAGTTCTGGGAGACACAAGATTAGTGTAGGGGGCTGTGCTGGTGCCATCCTTACTGATGTGCTGGTGGTGGCGGTGGTGGCGCTGCCTTCACAGCTGGGCGGCTAGAGAGCAGCAGCCTAGCCTTGAAGGTAGAGCCAACACTAGCAACAGCACAGAAGTAAGGATGGCATGGTATTACCACCCTTCTGTGCATCTGCCTTCAGAGCTGGACCAGCAATTGACACTCTCCACAGCCCAGCAATGATGGAAGCTGCACAGAAATAAGAATAGCATGGTAGGGGATTGACACCCTTATGCGCTGCTGATGGAGTTCTCTCTTCAGCCTTGGATACCTGACTAGCAGTTGCCGCGCTCTGTTCACCCAGCTGCAAGGGCAGAGCAGTGCAGAAATAAGTGTGGCAATACTGCAGCACCCCTTACAATAACCTTGTGACCCCTCCCGCCTGCTTTTGGATTGGGGCCCTCAGTTTGAAAAACATTGGTCTCCTCTGTGAAATCTATATAACACAGGATAAAAATAGATAAAAGCTTAGATCTCATGGGGAATACCAGATATCATGGTCCATGATGTGTTTTTGATTACATGATTTTTGTAGGGGCCTACACATTCAGTCTCAAGATTAAATAATGAGCTACAGCTCCAAATTAGTTTTTCTATTATTTTTATCCTTTTTTCTTTGCTGTTGATAGGTAGATATTTGAAATGTTTGGAAACTGTTCTGATCATCATTTTCAGAGAACCAGACTGGTATTGATCATAAACTTTGGTGTGGTTACTTGCCTTCTGTTACAGATGAGCTTCTTCTGAGTTAGCTTTAAGTCCATGTCTATCCTGATTATAGGGCGGTGCCTGCAGAACTTTTCCCTGGAGACTCTTTTCAGTCCTATCACTTGAGCCTTCAGACAAGCCCTGTTCCCTTTTTGGGTCTTAGGCCACTTCCTCAGTTGTCAGTGAGAGAATCCATGCCTGCTCACTACACTGTGTCTCAACTCAGGGACCCTTTCATACTGCTGCTATTCCCTTGGCCACCTACCACGTAGTCTCTTTCTCTTCACCCTTACCTCAAGCTTGATTAACAAGTAATAGTCTTAGCAGCACCTTAAAGAGTAACAAAACATATAAGTGGCATCATAAACTTTCGTGGGCACAAACCACTTAACTCGGCTACCCCCTCTGAAGCTCAGGCTTGATGTTCTTTTCACAGAATTTGACTGTCACCAGAACCCATTGGCTTGTTCTCCCTTGAGTTCCAGCAAAGAGCACCTTCCTTTAGTAAACATGAAATGCATAATTCAACTATTTTCTAATATCAAAAATTAAACTGAATACAAGTTTAAGCTCTATAACTACATAAATAAGTTTGTATAGATACATTGTATCTTCCCAGTTTGCAAAAAGTACCACGTTTATTGTGAAGGCTATAATTGCAAATAAATGTTTTAATGGTTGACAACCGATGAGACTCAGCCCTTCTGAGAAAATAACTAAAGAGTACAGATGTGAAACACGATTAAAATCAATTATTTAAATTAAAGTTTCCTGTTTGCCAATTTAAATAATTAAAATTGAAGATTTAATCACTTTCACTTTTGTCCATTACTTTTTCCATGCTCTCAAGTTCCTAATACGCCCTTGGTACCAGCCCTGCTGCAATGTTTGATGGATCTTAAGGTCTCCTCTGGGGATTATCAACTCCCAAACCGTCTCATCTCTATCTGTCCACCTTGACCCCCTCTGCATCTGAGTATTTATTTTCTAGATTTTAGAATTCTGTCACCTACATCTGCTCGGAAAGTTTTAAAAGGTCAGGCCTATTTTAGGGCAACTGTCTCTCCATTGGTATCCACATAGGCCACGGAGTACAAGATGCAATGTTGTGTGTGGGAATCCTCCATAACAGAGTTGACTTGTAACTCTAGATCAGGGTGGGGAACCTTTTTTTGGGCCAGGGGCCATACGCAAGTGAGAAGCAAAGAAAAAACAAAAATTGACTGAGGAGGAGGAAGACACTCCCCACTTTCTTCTTGCACACTAGATCTTAGGGGGGCCCAGGCTAGTAGATTTTGTGTGCTGCAGTCCAGCGGGGAGATGGAGTGCCTGCGCAGGCTCCCCAATGCTGGGGAGAGCCCTGAAGGTCAGATCCAGACAAGCCAGTGGCCTCATCTGGCCTCCATGCCTGAGGTTCCTGCCCCAGCTCTAAATGATAGGGAGCACAGTTTAAAGGTTTGGGGGTTGGAGAGATGTGACTGCCCCACTCCCTCTGCATCTCCCACACCTATTCAAAGTTGGCACCATATTGCCCCTGCCACCCTCACAACTCCTTCCTCACTTCCTTCTCCCATCACCTCTCTGCTGTGGGCACAGTGCAGATTAGAGTGGGCTTTGGACATCTACTGCTGAGCAGGTAACTATAGCTGTGAATGAGGGAAGGGATGGGATGTGAGGCCTTTCCTGTGCTCCCTCTGGCAAGGCTGTACTGCCAATCCTGTGCGTCTTCCCTTTTCTGGGTACCTCCTAACAGGACTTAGTGAGAATGCTAGGTGCTGGTACCTTTCCTAAGCACATCCCCCTCAGCCAGGCTCAACTCAGCTTTCACCCTGGCAGAAATCTGGAGATTAGGGAGGCCCCACTTTGACCCTGCATGTTCCTCCCATGCTTTGCCTCTGCTTCAGAACTAGATCTTTTGTGAAAGCCTCCAAGAAATCTACTTCCTCAATTTTTCTCTAGAGTTTGTGGCAAGAGTACTTGACTGTATCAGTGATGGCATCGCCACCTTCAGTCCTGATGTATTCTGATTTTCCCAGTGAAGGTGGTGGTGACCCAGGAGAGTAGGAATATAACCATATAAAGGCACATTTATAGTCCCTCATCCTTTCCCACAATGCTAAATTGGAATCCCCTTTTCTAAACAATTTCAGGAGCTTCCAAGACTTACTTGAAAGAATGATGGAAGCTCTTCATATTGAACTTTTGATCATTCAGGAGGTATGCAGCTAGAGCTCTGAAACATCAAACAAGAGGGCACGATGATGATCCCAGTAACCAAGCTTCTGAGGAACTAGCTTAGGGTAAATGGCTTATTACTTTGCCTGTTTCCAAGAAGGCTGCTACCTTTTATCAGAGCTCCATTACTGGCTTTGAGGCTCATATTTACTTTGATAGGTGCTATAGAAAACTGTAAAATAGATTAGTTCTACTTTGACTTAAAGTCAATGTAGATTTCTTACTCTTTGTCCTCTGGTATACTGAATGCAATAAAGTAGGCCCTATGCACTTTGTAGTAAGCTGAGGCTAAGTTTGTGGCAAAATTCCGGGATCCAGGGCACTGTTTTAACAGACTGGAAATTCTGCAGCAACTTCATTTAAATTACAGTATAAAGGTTCTTAATGAATTAAATATGAAGGATTAATATAATTATTACCTATATAGTGTATGGTGTTACCACCCCATAAATAGCTTTTTTTCAAGTAGTAGCAGCAAGAAACTGACATGATTCTTGGATGTTTCACATCTTCTCAGAAAATTCTGAGATGTGAAATTACTAATTTTACTCTGCAGAGGTGGGCAGAGCTATGATCTTGCTCTTTGCAAATTCAGGATGACTGCGCTGCTGTCTGTGTGCATACTACTTTCACGTTTAGGAGCTTTTCTTTGGTAATGGAAAAATGAAGAGTTAAGTTCTCTAGAAACAGACAACTTAGTGCCATCCACCTAGCTCGATATAATTCAACAGAAAGATTTGATGGAGTTTTCCAGGCTTGTAGATTTGGCAGGAGGAAACTATATTGTTACCTTCAGCATGACAGTGAGTCTCTACTGATCTGGCACTTGAAAATTACTGACTCTCAAACTTTTTGGGCAGTTTGCCAGGGAGTAACTCAGTTCTTCTCAGTCTTTAGCCACAATTATACCCAGTGCGTTGGTATGAGTATGGTGTTCTTATAGATATATAGTATGACCGTGGGACTCTAGAAGGCTGAAGTTTGAATTCATCTGATATTCAAATTGTAAAATTGCACAGATTAGAGTTGTGAAAGGCTTAACATTAACAGGCACCACCACTGTAATACGTTAGCCTTGGAAGGGACACTTGTGTTTGACTACCATGTAAAAAGGCAATCTGGCTCTGAAAAATTATGTATTTTGCATCATTTTCCTTATTACATGGCAGAAAAAATTGAACACAGAGTTAAGGTTTCCTGCTGGTAGCTTGTGTCCTTCCAGAACATTACATTCAGCAGAACTCAGAAACTTCTGAAAACTGGAAATTGAGTTACAGTAAATGTCCATGCAATCTTAAGTCTTCCCTCTGGAGCTGGCAAAAGCTAGTGGGAATTACCTGCTTAGTCTTCACTGTTACATGTAGCTGTACTGAATAGTGGAGACAAGTGGGGGAGGTTGCTAGAGTTGTGTTTGTGATAGGAAGAGATCGTGGAAGTAGTTTGAGCATCCTGGAGCTGCAATTGTGGTATGAGATCTGGGTTTGAGTCCCCCTCAATATGTGTGATCAAAAGGAAGAGATGTATATGTAAATTCAAGTTTCAGTCTGCATTATTTCAATTCAGAATTGTGTAGCTTGTGTCAGTAGCTAGACATTGGAGTCTTCCTGCCATAGGGTATTGTCAGTAGCAAGGTGGGATTTGAAAACAGTCTGAATTTAATGATGGGTAAGGGAAGGGTTAGGATATGTCTACACATAAACCACTTCAGCTGCACTGCTATAGGTGCACTGCTGCTGAGCTTCAGTGAAGACATTATCTATGCCAGTGGTCCCCAATGTTTTGGGGCTGCTGGGCGTCTGGGGGCAGGACTGCTCACGTGCCGCGTGCCTGGGGCTGGCACTGGCAGGTGCTGCGACTCTGGGCAGGGGCCGCCCATGCGCCCGGGGCTGGCACCTGCTGCGCGCCCGGGGGCGGGGCCAGCCCAGATTGCTCCGCGGGTGCACTTAAATAGCCCGGCGGGTGCCATGGCGGGGACCACTGATCTATGCAATTGGGAGGAGTCCTTCCATCTGTAGAGATACTCCACCTCCCTATGAAAGGTCAATGGGAGAATTCTCCAGTAAATCTAGTGCTGTCTACATTGGGGTTAGATCAGTTTAACTGCGTTGTTCAGATGAGTGAAGTTTTCATCTGAGCAATATAATTACACTGATTTAATTTCATAATGTAAACCAGGCCTTAGGTAGTGTGAAAGCATTATTAAAGGGTATGAAGTGGCTATTAAATTTTACAAATGTGAGATTCTCTGAGGGGAGTAAACTCAGGCCTAGTCTACACTAACCACCCCGCCACCCTTGGTCGATCTAAGATATGCAGTTTCAGCTACACAAATAGCATAACTGAAGTGTACTTGCTTACAATAGTGTCTTCCATGCAGTAAGAACAGCAGGAGCTGCTTTTCCATCAGCTCTACTTACACTTCCTGGTGGAGTACCAGAGTTGATGGGAAAGTGCTCAAAGTCTGATTTATCACGTCTACACAAATGTGATAAATCCACCGCTGGTGGATCAGTTTCTGCAGTCCTTAATGTTTGAGCATAGAGCCAGTGCAGGTAGCACCTATCAACCACAATGAAGACGCAGAGTGTGAATATGAGGGTACGTCAAAACTAAAAACTTAAGTCGACCTATATCAGGTTGACGTACAGCCATTGCAGTATGTACTTCAGTGATGCACATCCACACTGCCCTCCGTGGGTCGGTGGTGCACATCCTCACGAGGAGCAGGTCTATCAACCTAAAAGGTGCAGTGTGGGAACCTTAGAGCCTCGTCTCTCAGCTTTGCTAGCAGTTCCTGGTGGGCTGCCTCCCTTCCTTTCTCCCTACTGTCAGTGGGGGATACCGCATGGGATTTCTCACCTGCCTAGTGTGCGGGGTCCAGCCACCCAGCTCAGGCACCAGCTGTGAAATGGACAAGAGAGCTAATAACCAATATAAGTAACTTATTATCCACACAGACACTGCCTTGCCCTAACTACACCAAATAAGCTCCATGGCTTTTGTGGAGGTACATTTATGTTGATGTAGCAGAGTACTTACATCAATGGGGCAAGGATGTAATGTAGACACTGATGTAATTAGGTCATATAAACTGCCTTCCATCAACGTAACACTATAGTGTAGACCAGGCCTTAGTGTTTTGGACCAGAGTGATCAGCGTTAAGGTTCTTTGGATGTTTGCCATAGCGTTTTCAGAACTTTGAGTTTTGCTGAAATCCATATTCTGGAATAGCATAAGCTATTATTGGGCAATCTTAACTCTACATTAAGTTCTTTGCTATTTAATTTCCTAGCTTTTTAAACAGATTTTTTTTTTGGTAGGAATTAGTGGTCATTTAGGCCATTGTAGTTCTAACTGAGGTTTGCAGTTGATATGCTGTTGTGGCTAGGTAACAGTCAACAGACCAACTTTTACAGAGTGCTTTTCTTTGATGCATGTCAAGGAATGTGCATCATTATACCAGTTTTATACCTGGGAAACTGAAGCATAGAGAGGTAAAGTGACTTGTCCAAAGGTCACACAGTAAGCCAGTGATAGAGGTAGTTAGGAATAGTCCCAGCCCAGTGGTATTTCCACTAGGCCACATAGTTTTTGTGTGATTCCTCAATGATCCTTCCTCTCCCTCCCATACATTTTGTTGTTGTGGAATGGAAATAATGGTTGTCTTTTTAAATGCTTACACTGTGTAGCTGCTAAGAAGGTAAGTGAGAGAAATCTCATTCATGGTTTACGTCCCAGAATCCCGATAGTTTTTAGATACTTGGTACTTCCAGTAAGTGTGTGAGACGACACTTGGTATGTCTGTCTCCTCCTCCACTCCTGCAATACTACACCATTCCCGGCAATATGTAACTTTCCTGCCAACATTTCCAGCTCCCTCTCCTCTCCCTGTCCCATTAAGTTCATTAGTTGACATTGTTGAAGTTATGAACATGAAAGAAGTTTCTCCTTGATGTCTCTTGTTCTAAGCTGCTGTATACGCTTATTATAACCGGTGGCTTATTAGAGAGCCACTCACAGTCTAGATGAAGTAATTTGAGTTGTATGCTGAGTTGGCTTCCTTACTCCTAGTACCCACCCCAAGTTGGGATTCTTGACTTGACTTCTGTCAGGCTTCTTTAGCCTTGTCCTGTGTATGTCTAGTCTGCGTGTTCTCTGAACCAGACCGCTCCCTCCTCACTTTCCCTGGTGGTGTTATCTTAATTATTCATTTTCTGGATTTTAGATATTTAAATGTTAACTTTCAGATCCTTCCCATCTCCCTCCTCTGCAGTTACCAGCTCTCATGGAGGGACGAGAGAGAGATTTAGAACACAATGAGCAGGGATTTCAGTTCAGACCCCTGCCAAGGAACCCGAGTTCCCAGCACATTCAGAAGAGAAGTCAGGATTGACAGACCCCTCCAACCTAAAATCCAGCTTCCTCTGCTACCCATCATGTTCTGCAACTCCTTTTGCTCTCTCTCCTCTGCCACCTGTTACCAGTTTTCCCCAACCCCCACAGACCAAAACCCCTTTCCCCATACTTTTGCACCCCTGAGAACCTCTTCCTGCCCTGTGAGCGCTTGCAAGTATAACTTATTTTCTTTTCAAAAATAGTTTCACCTTGACAGAGGCAGATTTTTTTCCCATTGTTTACATTTTATTCTCAGATTTCTACCCGGGGTGGTTTCAAATTTCAAAGTTGATATAATCTGAATTTACTGAAATATTGTTTTTTCCCCTCAGATTATTTATTTTGGAAACCCATTTCTCATATGACCCTTTGTTTGGATCACTCACCCTACTCTCCTCCACCTTGGGCAGGGGGCTGGGACCCATAACAGATTTCAAAATTTGCTTCAGCATGTGGATTTTTGAGCATTTATTCTGTTTTTGAGCATTTATTCTGGCAGTTCATGGCAATTCTTTATGAAATTTAGAAGGAGAATGAAGGAGAGGAGCAGTAGCTCAGAGAAGTATAGGATGCAGGTGTCTGCAAATTTACAGGGCTCGACACTGGGTACACTGGGGCTGGACTGAGGCTCAGAGGCACAATCCCCCCTCCCCCAAGCATGCTTGGGGAGAGCCATGTGGGCAGCTGTGGGGAGCCTGTGCAGAATAGCAGACCCTTCACCTGCCCTCAACTGGTCAGGTAGCCTGCAGGTGGGGTGGGACACAGCGGGGGGCGGTTCTCGATTCCAGGTGAAGAGTTTCATTGTGGTTTCCCACAATGTGGCTGTGGTGTGGTCTTGGGAGCTGCCTGGGGACTGCTCAGGCCCCATGCCCAGAGAAGGCAGAGGGTTCACTGTGGCTTCCGAGACCTGCCCACCCATCTCTTACCCCAAGGGTGGGCAATAATTGTTGGCTGGGGGCCAGAAGGGGCGGGTCCTAAACTGGAAAGGGTGGGGTCAGGATGCTTCTGGGCTACCCCACCCACAGACCATGATTGGTCTGGGGATGGGGGAGTGCCTTTGCTCCGCCCCCCTTCCCATTAGACACCCATACCCCAGCAAGGTGGGAAGAGGCTTCACATGCTCCCTCTCCCCCAGCCCAATCATTGACCTGGGTGTGGGGGAGCGTGCGAAGCCTCCTCCTGCCCTGTGAGGAGTACACGGCACTTCAAAGTGGAGTTCATAGGGCTCCCCAATCACCGGTTCGATGATGTAAGAAATCTCGTTAGGACTGCTACCACCAGCCAAATGGTTTCCATCATAACGTGCCTCAAACTTATGGGGTGCATGGTGGCTACCACATATGTGATTCCTCATGCCAGGCTGTGCTTCCATTGTTTCCAGCACTGGATCTCTTCAGTGTACACACCAGCTAGCCATCAGATCCACAGGCGCATTTCCCCTCCCCCAAAAGTCCTCACCTCCCTACAGTTGTGGTCACAGGCATACAACCTCTGCGATGGGATGCCTTTCCACCGGGACCAGCTGTCCAAACAAATTATGATCGACGCCTCACTGATGGGGGGCACACTTCCAACAACAGTTTGCACAAAGGAAATGGTCCAAAGACGAGTCAAGACTGCACATAAACCTGCTCGAGTGTCAAGCAGTCCACAACACGTGCAAGCACTTCCACCCTTACGTCCAAGGCTCTTCTGTGTGGTTCCTCACCAACAATGACAACTACGTTTTACATCAGCTGCCAAGGGGACGCAAGATCCCAGTCACTATGCGCAGAAGCCATCAGGCTTTGGAATTGGTGCATCCGTCACAATATTACCATTTCAGCAGAATACCTGCCTGGAGACAAGAACATTACGCAGGTACCCTTAGCCGCAACTTCCTCACAGAACATGAGTGGGAACTACACGATCAAATCACCCACAAGCTGTTCCACTGATGGGGGCAGACCACACATAGATCTCTTTGCCACCACGCAGAACTCCAAATGCCCGCAGGACTGCTCCCAAGTGGGCATAGGGTGCAGCTTCCTGGGCGATGCCATGCTTTTCACTTGGGGGGGGGGGACACCTATTCTACCCCTTCCCACCTATTCCTCTCATTCCCAGAGTCCTCCGGAAGATACAGATGGATGGGGCCCAAATGATCTTGATAGCCCCAGTCTGGCCACGACAGACATAGAATCATAGAATAATAGGACTGGAAGGGACCTCGAGAGGTCATCGAGTCCAGCCCCTGCCCTCAAGGCAGGACCAAGCTCCGTCTACACCATCCCTGACAGATGTCTATCTAACCTGTTCTTAAATATCTCCAGAGAGGGAGATTCCACCACCTCCCTTGGCAATTTATTCCAATATTTGACCACCCTGACAGTTAGGAATTTTTTCCTAATGTCCAATCTAAATCTCCACTGCTGCACTTTAAGCCCATTACTCCTTGTCCTGTCCTCAGAAACCAAGAGGAACAAATTTTCTCCTTCCTCCTTGTGACACCCTTTTAGATATTTGAAAACCGCTATCATGTCCCCCCTTAATCTTGTTTTTTCCAAACTAAACAAGCCCAGTTCATGAAGCCTGGCTTCATAGGTCATGTTCTCTAAACCTTTAATCATTCTTGTCACTCTTCTCTGTACCCTTTCCAATTTCTCCACATCTTTCTTGAAAGGTGGCGCCCAGAACTGGACACAGTACTCCAGCTGAGGCCTAACTAGCGCAGAGTAGAGCGGCAGAATGACTTCACGAGTTTTGCTTACAACACACCTGTTGATACAACCTAGAATCATATTTGCTTTTTTTGCAACAGCATCACACTGTTGACTCATATTCAACTTGTGGTCCACTATGACCCCTAGATCCCTTTCCCCCATGCTCCTTCCTAGACAGTCGCTTCCCATCTTGTATGTATGGAACTGATTGTTCCTTCCTAAGCGGAGCACTTTGCATTTCTCTTTATTAAACCTCATCCTGTTTACCTCTGACCATTTCTCTAACTTGCTAAGGTCATTTTGAATTATGTCCCTATCCTCCAAAGAAGTCGCAACCCCACCCAGTTTGGTATCATCTGCAAACTTAATAAGCGTACTCTCTATCCCAATAGCTACATCATTGATGAAGATATTGAACAGCACGGGTCCCAAAACAGACCCTTGAGGAACTCCACTTGTTATCCCTTTCCAGCAGGATTTAGAACCGTTAACAACAACTCTCTGACTCCGGTTATCCAGCCAATTATGCACCCACCTTATCGTGGCCCTATCTAAGTTATATTTGCCTAGTTTATCAATAAGAATATCATGCGAGACCGTATCAAATGCCTTACTAAAGTCTAGGTATATGACATCCCCCGCTTCTCCCTTATCCACAAGGCTCGTTATCTTATCAAAGAAAGCTATCAGATTAGTTTGGCATGACTTGTTCTTCACAAACCCATGCTGGCTATTCCCTATCACTTTATTACCTTCCAAGTGTTTGCATATGATTTCCTTAATTACCTGCTCCATTATCTTCCCTGGGACAGACGTTAAACTGACCGGTCTGTAGTTTCCTGGGGTGTTCTTATTCCCCTTTTTATAGATGGGCACAATATTTGCCCTTTTCCAGTCTTCTGGAATCTCCCCTGGCTGCCATGATTTTTCAAAGATCATAGCTAAAGGCTCAGATACCTCCTCTATCAGCTCCTTGAGTATCCTGGGATGCATTTCATCAGGACCTTGGTTCACAAGTCTTTATCACCTGTCTCTACAACCTCCCTACCCACTTCTGAACCACTCAGATCTACTCTCCCAGAACCAGGGATCCATACTTCACCCCCAACTACAAACATTGCACCTGATGGCATGGTACCTATCTGGTTCTAGAAGTGGAGCAGCAGTGTTCCCAACAAGTGAAAAGTCTTCTGCTCCACAGCAGAAGTCAAATGACATGCAAGACTTACCTATACAAGTGGCACTGGTTTACACAGTGGTGTGCACACAGGGCACTTGAACCATCCAGGATGCCGCTTCACCAATTACTGGAGTACATCATGCACCTGAAACAACAAAACTTGTCAATTTCATCGCCCCGGGTGGATGTGGTCGCCATTATGGCCTTCCACCCT